TATCGAGGTTTTACAGGACCGAGCAGCCAGACTGACTAGGTGGGTAAGAGACAAGATCACAAGGGTCTTTAAAAATGCAGACTTTAAGACACTTTTCCAAAAAAAATGTCCCAGGGAAAGAAATTCAGTTCTTTTTCTTACAGAAATGTGGTACCCATCCATTTTTCTCTGCTTTTCCCTCTGACTTTGCCCGCAAAAGACCCCTCTACTTCCTGCCTGTCTTCTTTCCAGCATCACACGAGACTGGGGGGCAGGGGTGGGGAGAGCATCCAGTGGTGGATAAGGCAATGCCCTGTTTGCAAAGCAAAGAAGTTCATTGGGATTGAAAACACATGAAAGCTTTGCTTTGTTTGGTGAATCTTGCTGTGACTTTAGAATAGAGAGAAGCTTTGTCGCTTTCTCAAATGCTCGGAAAAAGACTGAAAGAGGATTTGAGGGCAATTAAAAGAAAGAGGCCACAGTTTCTTCGTGAAAAGAGAAGAGACACAGAGGGGGAGACCTAGAGTTAGAGTTTCCAGAGGCAGAGCAACAGTTTAAGTGTTTGGGAGCTGGGTAGATCCGGCTGTGAAGTGCTTGCTCCACATGCATGAGGACCCAGATTTGGATCCCCAGCCACAATATAAAAATACTATGTGATAATACAAACCTATAACCCCAGAACTGGAGAGACAGCAACAGGTAAATGTCTTCTGGGAGCGCATTAGTCAGCCAGACTTTGGAGTGACAGTATCTCAAAATAATTACACAGAGGGCAACTGAGGAAGCCATCCTGTGTCAACCTCTAACCTTCACCCATGCGTGCACTCACACATGTGCATGCATCATGCATACAAAGACTTCAGTGTTTAGGTACTAATCATGATCCAAAGAAACAAAACAAAACAAAAACAAAAAGTAAAATGTTGCTGGGCAATGGTGGTGCACACCTTTAATCCCAGCACTCAGGAGACAAATGCAAGAGGATCTCTGTGAGTTTGAGGCCAGCCTGGTCTACAAGAGCTAGTTCCAGGACAGCTAGGGCTACACAGAGAAACCCTGTCTCAAAAAAACAACAAAAAAGTGTAATGCTTGAGATTACTGGATGTTTGAAAGCTGACTTAAGGATATTAGAGATTTATTGTTATTTTAAATTTGATTGTATAATTATGTTTTTTTAAAGTTCTTATCCGGGGGGGGGGGGGGGTGTGGGGAGGAGGTTCAGTGGTTAAGAGTACTGGCTGGTCTTCCAGAAGACAGAATTGGTTCTGAACATCCACATGGCAGCTCACAACCATCTTTTACTCCCGTACCCAGGGGATCTGACGCCCTCTGCTGGTCTCTGCAGCCTCTTCTTTCTTCTGTAAAATCAAAATGGGATACACTGAGCAAGTTGCCTAGCAGACTAGCCAAATGGTGAGACCTGTACTTGCTTGAGAGACCATGCCCCAAGTAGAATAAGGTGGAGAGCAACTGAGGAAAATTCCTGACATCACCCTGGAGCCTCAGTTCCACATGCACTCATAAGAACATGCATACAGCGCACACACACACACACACACACATGATCACACACAATAAAAAAAAAATCCTTATGTTTTAGAGATAGATACCAAAATGTTTCTAGACAAAATGTTATGTTATCTCTACCAAAATATTATATTGGGAAGAGGTGGGTAAATGAGCGCAGATCAAGAGTAGAAATTGGGTGAAGAGGGATTTATTATGCTATTCCTCCATCTTTGTGTGGTTCTTGTCTTTTTTTTTTGGGGGGGGGGAGTCTCATTATGTATCCCTGGCTAGCCTGAACTCAACATGTAGAGTAGACTTTTCTGGAAACCAGAGATCTATATGTTCATCTCCCCCGTGCTGAGATTGAAGGTGTATGCAGCACCGTGCTGAATTTTTTTTTTTTTAAAGATGAGGTTTCATGTAGACCAGACTGGCCTTAAAGTTAACAAGTTCATATGTAGTTGAATTTCTGAACCTCTGGCCTTCAGTTCTTGAGCGCTGGGATTGCAGGAAAGTTCCAGTGAGCCTTGCTGATGCAGGACGGCTGGCATCGAATCCAGGACTTTGTGCATACTAAACTAAGCAAGTCCTCTACCAGCTGAGCAACATCTCTGCCTCCAGACTTCTGAAAGAGGTGTTGTGTGTGGGTTTTTGTTGTTGTTGTTGTTGTTGTTGTTGTTGTTGTTGTTAACGGCCATATCTCATATTTCACTAGACTTCTACTTTGGGGGAACTGTGGGACGAAAAACTGGATAGAGGGCAAGCATGGAGCTTGGACAAGACTTAAAAGTGGGTTGGGGCCAGGTTGGAGGCAGCAGGAAGGAAGGTAAAGAGTTAGCACACGTGCGAGAGAGTAGGGAAGAATGGAAAGGGGAAGTGAGCCCCTCCCTTTCTTTCCACTTTTTCTGTACTTCCTACTTACCCTTCCACAGAGAGAACTCTGTAGAAGAAAAACCTAGGAACTTAGTGAATAAACCCTGAAATTTCAGTTCAGTTCACAGGGTGCAGGAAGCTACATTTTCAACAAGTGTCCCTAGAAAACTGGGTATCTAGAACTCCCTGTGAGCCCCAAAACCTAGTCCCTGAGAATAGCTTAAGATCTGACACTAACTTTCATTTTATCACATCATGACCCAACCACTCCACCTTTCAAAGCCTGGGTCACAGAAGTTTACTGTTTCAAATCAGGAAATAAGGGGATGAGAATCACAAAGGGGGTGGTACTTACTGGTTTTCTTAAAAGTGTGTGTGGGAGCATATGAAGACAGGGGGCCTTTCAGATGGGAAAAAGAGACTTATCAGTAGGTTAAAGCTTGGAAGTCTCCTTTGACTCACTCTGACCCTTTCCCCAGTGTTCTCTGGTTTTTTTTTTTTTTTTTTTTTNTTTTTTTGTTTTTCAAGACAGGGTTTCTCTGTGGCTTTGGAGCCTGTCCTGGAACTAGCTCTGTAGACCAGGCTGCCTCAATGCAACTCACAGAAATCTGCTTGCCTCTGCCTCCCGAGTGCTGGAATTAAAGGCGCGTGCCACCATCACCCGGCTCTCTGGTTTTATATTCGCCGAAAAACCTTCTGGTTTTCAATGGATCTCCACTAAAAAGGAAAAAAGAAATCTCTAAAACATAATGGTTGTCCTAAGTTACCCGGTCTCCTCTTGATAGTTCTGTTTTGTTTGTTTGCTTTTTGTTTTTCAAGACAGGGTTTCTCTATAGCTTTGGAGCCTGTCCTGGAACTCTGTAGACCAGGCTGGCCTCGAACTCACAGAGTCCCCTTCCTCTTCCTTCAGAGTGCTGGGATTAAAAGTGTGTGCCGCCACCACCCGGCGATAGTTCTGTCTTTAACATCAATTTTAATAAACTGATCTTTTCTAAGTCTCTGAAAGGCCAGTTGTTCAGCAGAACTAGGGCAAAAATCTTACCACACATCAGATGATTGGCAATGAGCAAACGGATAAACTTAAGTTTAGACTTTAAGGTAATAAACAAGACCATGTATCTCAGCTGGCCTAGAGCAGCAACCCATGGCTGAATCATCAACACACTGGGGCATCTAGACAGATAACTCTGCTGCCTGCACAGTCCTGGCCAGATCCCTCCTGAAAGGAGGCGATTGAAAAAAATAGGGCTAGGTAATCAAGCTTACTTACCTAGAGCCCCGTGCCTGCTCAAACAGAACACTGTCTTAGGTTGAGACCAGCGAGGTTGCAGAAAGGTGTTCTTAAGCAAATGGGAGCTAAGTCTGCAGGCTGTGTGCCTTGATACTGGTGAAGATATTCCCAGAGTCTGATGTGGCTTTGTCTGCCACCTCTAATAGAAGAGAGGAAGCGGGAAAGAACAACAAGCAAGTAGACCCACACTCTCTCCCACAGAACAAGTTGTGTCAAGTCAGTTCCAAGAGTTTTCCTCCCTTAGTCCACTTGCAACCACAAGCGAAAAGAAAAGGTCCTATGCCTAAAGCCTTCTGGGAGTTCTGTGTTCTCACTTGTCACTAGTCTTGTGAAGCATTGCTCTTTGAATTAGAACTACCCAGAGGCCTGCTAGCATCCACTACCTACCACTAACTGGCACTCCCTGGGTCCCAGCAAGTCACCTTTTGCCCACCTCAACCTCCAATGCCCTAAAAATCTTCCCGAGTCACATACTATGCTGGGAACATCCGGGGGACAGAGGAGCAGGCAGGGGCCCATGAAACCTTAAAAGGAAGCTGAAATGCAAGCCCCTCAGCACACCTTAGACACTCAGAAGTAATAACTAACCGAGCCACGCCTCCGCCTGTCTCAAAGACATGGTAGGGAAATACCATGGGCTATGTATGTTCTGAGGGGAACTAAGACCTCAATGCAAAATAGGCTCAGGTCAGCCAGGTGCTTAGTCTGAGCACTCAGCCGGGAATTACAACTTTTGTTGGTTGGTTTGTTTGTTTGTTTTTGCTTTTCAAGTCAGGGTTTCTCTGTAGTTTGGGAGCCTGTCCTGGAACTTGCTCTGTAGACCAGGCTGGCTAGTCTCGAACTCACAGAGACCCTCCTGTCTCTGTCTCCCGAGTGCTGGAATTAAAGGTGTGTGCCACCACCCACCCGGAATTACTGCTCTTAAGAGTAGGAAGAGCATTCTGTCTGTTGGGCAGAGGATGTGCTTGAGAATTCTGAAGAAAAAAAAGCTATGACAGAAAGAGTCCGAGACTGGCCAGGAGGGGTCTACAGAGAACGCGAGGTAGAGGCAGATGGGGGAAAGTAAACAGAGAATGGGGTAAGAGAAGGAGGGAAGGTCCAGAACTGAACAAGACTCAGCTTCATTAGAAATTGGGCTCCGTGGTCCAGAGGCGGGGAAGATGCGCCCCTTAGCGTCCCAAGCGAGCTACAGCCCAGCTCCGGCGGTCTGGAAGCCCCGCCCAGGCCGCGCTTTCGGCAGACTCCGGGTTCCCTTGTGTGGCGCGGCCCTTAAGTTCTGGCTGTGGCGCGCGGGCGGAAGGTTTAAGCGGACGGACCGACGCTGGAGATGCGCTCCGGGTAAGTCCGGGAAGCAGTGGGCTGAGGTTTTTGTTGCTGGTTGGGGTTACCGGAGACGGGGTGAAGGAGAAACGGCAGCGGGCGGGCGACGAGCCTTCGCTGCCGCCCTAAGAGGGGTGGCCGTCTCTGGGCGCTGGCTCCCGGGCCTGCTCCCGGCTTCCCTTCCGTGTGGCTCGGGTCTTAAGCGCGGCTCTGGTAAACAGTGGGATTTCGCGCCGGAGCCAGGCCTCCTGTGTTCCCTCTACTCCTGACAGACTTCCGTCCCTGGCCCCTGAGAGTTCCATCTCCTCTTTCCCCAACTAATGTTTTGGGCTCTTTTTAAAGGTAAAATTCTGCCGGGCGGTGGTGGCTCACGCCTTTAATCCCAGCGCTCGGGAGGCAGAGGCAGGTGAAGCTCTGTGAGTTCGAGGCCAGCCTGGTCTACAAGAGCTAGTTCCAGGACTGGCTCTAAAACTACAGAAAACCCTGTCTCAAAAAACCCAACAACAAAATATAGAGGTAAAAGTCTGTTCTCCAGTTGCAATCCAAATGAAGGATGCTGTATTTCAGGTCATTCATTCAGAGACTAATCATCTGAGAACTCAGAGTCCTATAGGGCAAGTCAGGGTGACAGGAAAACCGAATGTGCACTTAGAAACTGAAGTGGAATCGCGTTTGGGAGGGAGACTCCTGAAACTCCAGTTGCTGTGGATGGGCTAATTGACCCCTTCAGGGTAGAATTATAAATATAGTTGATGCCTTTTAGAGCAGTCGGGTGGCGAGGGTGTATCATCAGGAGAAAGAAGACCCTTAGTTATCCGAAACTAAACTGGAAAGGTGGCAGGCCGTGTGGGCAAACTTGAAGATCAGAGTCAATCCAAGTGAGAAATACATCGTGTTATCTCAAAAGCGAAGCTAGTAGGCAGAGGTTTAATTTTTTTTTTTTTTTTATTGTTAACTAGGTTTAGACTACTCGAGTGAACCAGCCTTCAGGAACGTTCCATTCTTTCTTCTATCCCAGTGCTTACAACCTGGGTACAAAATTGGATTGCCACAAGTTGGCCAAGGCAGAGGGCATTGCGCTTGGGACCTGACACACATGCCTCAGACAAGAGAAAGAGCCAGCTTCTCAGGTGTCCTTAGAGACGGTCACCCATTGCAGTGCTGACAGCAGATTTCGTGGACCAGAAGTGCTTGTTGGTACCTGATGAGTTATCTGTTTCCCCTTCTCAGAGGTGAGGGCAGTATCCCCATGACCTTCCACTTTTCAAAAGCATAAAGGCCTTCATGCATAAATATGACCACAAGATCTGGATAAACCATAACTGAGCAAAGTGCAGGAGTCATGGGTGTCTCTGCTAAAATAAGAAGAAAGGAGGTATAACTCTGGTCACGGGGTTAAAATTTTTAATGTATTTTGCTAATGAATGAAAGGTGTATGTTGTGATTGGGGTAGTTCATTAGTTAGGATCAGGTATCTGTTTAGCAGATGTAGCTCTGAGTGGACATTAGTAGGCAAACCCTATTGTGATCCTCGCCCTTAGCTCACTAATACAGTTCTGAACTCATTTTTCTTGGAGCTGCTCTTCAGAACAGAGTTCTGCAGGGTGGACTTAGAAAAATGCTAGTATGTAGCAAATCAGGGCAGTATGGTGCTGGGTGGTGAGGCCATGCCATCTCCCCAAGGGTGGGTATGTTTACCATGCATTGTTTAATGAGGCAGAGAGAGGGATACATATTTCAATGTGAGGCTGGAGTGGCTCATGGGTTAAGAGCACTTCTGGAGGACCTGAGTTAAGCTCTTAGCACCCACATTAGGCAGCTCACAACCACCTGTAACTCCAGCTCCAGGGGATCCAACACCCTCCTCTGGACTCTACTGGGCACCTGCTCCTACTTCGCATGCACTCACATAGACACACACACTGAATAAAAATAAATTTGTTTTTCTTTTAATTTTCTTTCAGATTGTCTTAACATTTGGATGTCTAGGAGAGTCTGAAAAAGCAGTTCTTTTCTCTGGGTTAACTTTATGGGTATTGGATACACGAGATGTTACAATATTTGAGATGTATCTCTGTTCATTGTGATAAAAAGGCTTCTCCTGTTTGATCTGCATCCCTAACCCTTACATATAACATTGTTTCCATGACCCAGTCTGTGCTCAATTTCCAACAACCTACTTACAAGAGGAATTCTAGAATATATAGTTGGTCATATACCTAACAGGAAATCTGCCTATTGTTAAGTTAGTAAAACTAAATTTTGAACCTGATTGTGTATAATATATGCAATGTGATTTTTCTTGTTTTAGTCTTTTGAGACAGGATTTCATATAACTCAGACTGGCCTCAAACATCTTAGAAACTAATAATGACCTTGGAGTTCTGAACCACCTCCAGAGAGCCCAAATTACAGGCATGTACAATTGTGGCTTACAATGTCATTTTAAGTTTTTATTTTTTGAGACAGAGTCTTACTATATAGTCCTGGCTGTCTTGGAACTCACTATGTAATCCAAACTGGCCTTGAACTCACAAATCTACCTCTCAGGTGCTTGGATTAAAGCCAGGGCTAATGCTACCATGCCTGACCTACAGTATAACTTTTATGAATTTACATGCAGTGTACACACACATGCATGCAGGCACAAACACATGTATTATGAACTGCTTTTTTAAAACTTCATTCTTTATACATAAATATTTTCTAAATCTGTCATTTATTTTAGCTCTTTAACATTTTATTGCATCTGCAGATTAATAAAGGGGCAGCAGTCTCTATCCACATGAGCAGATCTGTGTGTCTGGGAACTTTATTCTTGAAAACAGAAGCATTTTCTCCATACTGAGCTTATTTCATAATCTTAAAGAGCTCTTCCTTTCTTCCATTACTATATTTTTACTCTTTTACACAGTGCACGAAGAAATTTTAACTTTCATAGAGATTTTTGATTTTTCTTTTCCTAAAACAAAGGCACCAAGCCACAGAGGAATTAAACGCTTGTACTAATGCTACAGTATTCATCAAGATAGTAGCAAAAAACCCAGCCGATTGTCAGGTAGTACATTGCATTTGATGGCTGGACGTGCTCTTCAATAAATTAAGGCATTGATGTAGAAGTTTTATTGTATTAAGTTGTGTGAAACTGAAAAGTTTGGAATCAGGGACTACCTGAGTTTGTGTAATGCACTTCTGCATTTAATGCCCTTGAATTAGGCCTGCCTAGTGGGTGTGTCCAGGAGAGGCCCTCACAGTGAACCAGTCTTCCTGTTCTTCTCCCTTAATTCTGTGGGGGTAGAAATACCTCCATGTATTTCTAGGAAACTGGTTAAAATTGTGTTGAAAAACTTTCCTTCCCAGGATATGTAAGATCTTATTCTTTTCCACAGCATTTCTCCGGTTGTAGCTGGCTCTCTGTTCTGAGGGAAGTGCTAGAATTGTGCCATCATGCCCACTGTGGTGGTAATGGATGTGTCGCTTTCCATGACCCGACCTGTGTCTGTCGAGGGGTCTGAGGAATACCAGCGGAAGCACCTGGCTGCCCACGGCTTGACGATGCTATTTGAACACATGGCCACAAACTACAAGCTTGAATTTACAGCACTGGTGGTTTTTTCATCACTTTGGGAACTGATGGTCCCCTTCACAAGAGATTACAACACCCTGCAGGTACTCACAGGATCCATTATTGTAGGTACATTTTGACAGAGCCCACATATACTGGGAGATAACAGTATTGTGATTGTGGACTGACATTAGGACTTGGAATTTAGGTATGTAATCTATAACTGAAAACGAGGTTCACATGGTCCTAGCTTTCTGCTGGCAAAGCCATGAAATAGGAATGTGCTTTGTTTTCTTCTCTTGGATTTTGGAATCTGAGGATAGTGCTCTGTGTGCTAGAATTTAGCATCTTTATGTCTAACATCATTTCTGCCTTCTCACAAAACCTAAGAAACTGAAAAGTGATCATCCTCGCTTTTTAAAAATCATTATTACAGGGGCTGGAGATACGGCTCAGTGGTTAAGAGCACTGACTGCTCTTCCAGAGGACCTGGGTTCAATTCCCAGCACCCACATAGCAGCTCACAACTGTCTGAAGATCCAGTTGCAGGGGATCTGACACATTCACACCAATGCACATAAAATAAAGTTAAATAAACCATAAAAATATTTTTTAAAAAAATCATTATTACAGAAATTCAAAATTACTTTTCTCTCTGACAGATAGCTTTGATTTTTTTTTGTTTGTTCTGTTTTGTTTTTCAGGACAGGATATCTCTATGCAGCCTTGGCTGGAACTCTGTAGACCAGGCTGGCCTTGAACTCACAGAGATCTGCCTGTCTTTGCCTCCCAAGTGCTGGGATTAAAGGCATGCACCACCACCACCGCTGCCAGGCCCAAGATACACTTTTTAACCCTTGGCCAGTAGCTATTATCTTTATCTTCAAGGCTTTTCTGCAGTATGCCAAAGAATTTACTTTCTGACATCTTTAAATCATTGATATTTCCAGGAGTGCTTAACATAGTACCTTGCCCCCTTGTATTTGTGGAATTAAACTGAATAGTTTAAGTGATAGTTAAGCAAGTTAGAGAGCAAGGGTCAATTTAGACTGAATTAAAAATATATTTATGGGGGCTGGAGGGATAGCTCAGAGGTTAAGAGCACTGGCTGCTCTTCTAGAGGTCCTGAGTTCAATTCCCAGCAACCACATGGTGACTCACAACCATCTGTAATGAAATCTGGTGCCCTCTTTTGGCCTGCAGGGAGGGATACATGTAGGCAGAACACTGTATGCATAAATACTATCTGTCTGTCTGTCTATCTACCTATCTACATACACATATATATATATGGAAAGGGGGCGGGAGAAATGACTCAGCAGTTAAGAGCACTTATTGCTCTTGCATGTATGTGGTACACATGTATAATATATACAGACATACACACAAATTAAGTATTTTAAATATATATGTAAGGAAAACATTTTTGTTAAGGTGTCCTCTCTCTCTCTCTCTCTCTCTCTCTCTCTCTCTCTCTCTCTCTCTCTTTTCCATTTTTCAGGACAGGGTTTCTCTGTGTAGCTTTGGTGCCTATCCTGGAACTAGCTCCTGTAGACCACACTGGCCTCAAACTCACAGAAATCCTCCTGCCTCTGCCCCCTGAGTGCTGGGATTAAAAGCGTGCGCCGCCACCACCACCCAGTTCAAGGTGGTCCTTTTTTTAGCTCCCATTTTATTTTTTCTTCTAAATGTATTAGTTCACTTTGAGGGGATTTAAGACAAGGTCTTTTGTATAACCCAGGCAAACCTCCAATTCTCAGTCTTCCTCAGCCTCTTGAGTACTGGCATTACAGACATGCACCACCCTGCCTGGCTTTTACTATTTTTCTCACAAGTGATTAAGCTTAAAGAGTCTGATATTCAGGGTTCTGAAATTTGGAGAATTGCTGTATATGGCACTGAGAAGCCATAATTAAGATCTGGAACCCTGAAGTCAGTCTGCCTGGGATTCAGATTATGCCCCGTCACCTCTTATCATGAGAAAGTTACTTCATCATTCTGTACCTCGGTTTCCCTGTTTAAAAGAGGCAGTGGCAAGATGGTCAAATGTATATAAATGCTGGAAATGGTGTTTAAGGTGTGAATAATAGCTGGGCAGTAGTGGTGCACGCCTCTAATCCCAGCACAGAAGACAGAGAAGCAAATGGATCTCTGAGTTTGGGGCCAGTCTGATCTACAGAATGAGTTTCAGGATAGTCAGGGCTACACAGAGAAACTCTGTCTTGAAAAAAAAAGAAAGAAAAAGAAAAAGGCATGTGGTTAAGATTGGATACAGTTGTAATTTTCATTTTTGTAATGTGTTTTAGTTCTTAATTTTGGTATTTTCATTTTCCTTCAAGTCCACTTAGACACAGGCTTGGAACTGCCCATGCTCACCTAATAAGAGGAGAGAATAAAGAAAGCCAATTTAAATATCCTTTATAGTTGAGAAAAATCTGTCTCATTGTTTTTCTCTAAGGAACCTGTACTTTGTGGCTCTCAGAGACTTGGTGTACCCTGTGTAGCATGTATGCTTTGAACAATCTGTGTTTTCTGATAACAAACAATAAAGAACAGTAAGCGCTTGTGTTTTTATTCTACAAGGAAGCACTGAGTAACATGGATGATTATGACAAAACCTGCTTGGAGTCTGCATTAGTTGGCGTTTGCAATATTGTCCAGCAAGAATGGGGTGGAGCAATTCCTTGCCAGGTAATGATCAATTCTTTCTCATCACCCTAAGTTAAAAGCGTCAACTGCTGAGTGCTTTGATTTTCTTTAGCTTATTCCATCAGCAGACGACACAGCTTCATCATTCTAGAAACTACATCTTACACCATTGGTATTTGGAAAAGGCTCTGAATCACCCTAATTCGTCAGCTAATCTAATCCACATCGTGCTAATGTGCTCATGAAGCAGCAAAATGATCCCTCAAGGAAAGCAAAGCAAATTGGCTTACTACAAAGTAGCACCATTTGTAGAAGAGACAAAGGGCTCCCAGTGGAGTATAAGAACTGTGTTCCCTGGAAAGGGTAATTGTAGTTTTGAGTGGTAGAATTGTAAACATCAGTATAGTCTGGTCTTTCTTTATTCCTTCAGTGTAGTATTTATTCAGCAAACTTCTGTCTCAACTCTAAATTGTATGGAAGTGAAGTAGAGAAGTATCAAAAGCTGTCTTGCTCCTTTTGTGAAACCTACAGTGGTTCCCTATTAGCATCAAAACAAAGCAGAGTAGCAACAGGAAAGAGAATTAATTAGATGTCTGGTGTAAACTGATACTTTGAGAAGTAGTGGCTTATTTAAAAGGAGAAAACAAATACTGCTAACAGGATAATTATAACAGTTTTTCTGTGTTTAGGCTTTGCAGATTTCTGTCCCGCTCACTGAGTTCTGTAGTTACAGTATGATAGAGCCATAGCATAAGAAGTGAATGAGGCACTTGGGAGGCAGAGACAGGTGGAACTTCGTAAGTTCGAGGCCAGCCTGGTCTACAAGAGCTAGTTCCAGGACAGACTCTGAAGCTACAGAGAAACCCTGTCTCGAAAAACAAAACAAAACAAAAAAAAAGTAAATGAGGATAGCTATGTTGCTTTATCTACAAAACTAGACAGTGGTTAGATTATGGCCTCTGGGCCCGTTTGCCCCAGTATATGATGTAGGACTTTCTATTAGAGGGTCAGTTTCCTCAGTAATATCAATGGCATAATTAGTATTTTATTTTCTAATTCACAATAAATGTGTAAAGTCAGGCACATATCATACACCTATAATTCCATTGCTTAGGAGACAAGACTGGGAGATTGCCAATTCAAGACTAGCCTGTGCTATGAAGTGAGACCCTGTCTTACAAAAACAACACAAGGGGGCTGGAGAGGTGGCTCAGCAGTTAAGAGCACTGACTGCTCTTCCAGAGGACTTGGGTTCAATTCCCAGCTCCCACATGGCTGTTCATAACTCTCTGTGACCACAGTCCCAGGGTATCCAAGGCCATGAGGCGTGCACATGGTGTACAGACACACACACACAAACACTTATACAAAGAAAATTAAAGTGGGGAGGTGTGACTTTGTGATTAGAGCACTGACTGTTCTTACAGAGGACCCGGATTTGATTCCCAGCACCAACATGGCAGTTCCTAACTGTCTGTAATGCCAGTCTCGGGGGATCTGATGCCTTCTTCTGCCTTCCTTGGGTATCAGGTACACACACAATGTACAGATATACATACAGGCAAAACACTCATACACATAAAATAAAAAAATTTTAAAACTCCAGCAACAGTAGTTTTAAGGTTGAAGTTGCTTGGCAGTGAAGAAAGGCTAGAGGCTAATTGAGAAGACATAGAGACATAGGAGGCTGAGGTTGATTGAAAAGACGTGGAAGTGGATGTAGGGCATGTTACAAACCTGTTCTCTAGATTGTAGGAATGCTTACATAATTAAATGTGGTGGTCAGAACTGTATACTAAAACCACTCAGTTTTGCTGCATGAAAATTATATCTCAAGTCAAATTTTGGAAAAAAATTAAAAAAAAAACTTTTTTACTAGAGTGAAAATCACACTGTTTAAATTCTTGAGCTCATAAAGACCCTGTGTTACTTTAGACAGTTAAGTCAAATCACTTTAGTAAACATTTGTTAATGAAAACAACAAATGGGGCTGGCGAGATGGTACAGTTAGGAACACTCGGTGTTTGTGCAGAGGACCTCGGTGTGGCTTCCAACACTCACAGTGTAACTCACAACTGTCTGTAACTCTACTCCAGGAGAGCTGATGGGTAGATGCCCTCTTTTGTCTTCCTCTGGTATCAGGCACACCTGTGGCGCATGTATATACATGTAGGGCATATACATAAAAAAACAAACCTTTAAGAAGACAGCAAATGTCTTTTGGTTAATTCTTTTCAGGAAAGCAGTACATAACTTTATAGGCATCATTTTCCTTGCCTGCATATATGTCTGTGTACCATGTGCGTGCCTGAAATATTCAAATGAATATCTGATTTTTCTAATAATAAACTGAATAACTGAAGTTTTTATCAGTATCTTCTGAACAGCAGGTACTGGTTTCATTTGCTCTTCTGTGATGAGAGGGGTCAGGACTGATTTTAAGGGCTAGACCTTTGTAACATGCAGACATCACCTTTTCATCTTTTGTTTAGATTTTGTTTTGTTTTGTTTGTTCGTTTTTTAAGGGAGAAAGAAGAACCTGAATTGGAGAGGAACTGTGTCAGAATGCCTAAATCCATTTAGACTTGCTAAATGTATAAAATCCAAAGTATTATATTAGAAATGATAATTACTGGTGATTTTACAACCAGTTAATATGAAATTTATTTAAATGTGGGTTTTTTTTGGCTAACACTTTGAACAGCCAGATTGTACCTTCATTATCTGAGTAGTGTTTCACTTGGGCATTACATGTAATCTGTCATAAAACACATCCGCAGCTGGTGGGATGGTTCAGTGGGTAAGGTGCTCACGCTTCAAAAGCCTGGCACCTGAGTTCAATCCACAGAACCCATGTGAGATGAAAGGAAAGGGCTGAGTCCATAAAGATGCCCACTGACCTCCACTTACACACGTCATGCGTGTGTATGTACACACACACACACACACACACCAGCATCAATAAAAGCTAGTATAAGAAGTAAATCACACTGTTTATAAATTGTTGGTTCCTGGAAGAAGAAATTGCTACGTAGTCAATTGACTACCTTCCCAAAAGATGATCTCCACCCAGGGAACCTCTATTCTATGGTGAAGTCAGTGCCAGTGTTGGTGCCCCATGAGGTGCAGCCACCCACTAGGCAAAGAGAGCTAAATTAGTCTTCCCTCGGGATGTTTAGGAAGTCCACTAGGGCTTCACTATCACCTGAAGCCATAGAAAAGAGAAAATGGCTTTTCAGATACCATTTTCAGATCTATTTTATTGACCTTTTCAAATTACAAGTTAAACGTGTTTTTTAAAAGTCTTGTTGCTGCCAAAATGTCCTGACAGATATTTTTCCATTTGGTAGTGAGGACAAGTGACAGTCCAGATGCATTTTAAAAGTAGCTGTCTTTTCAGTTGACCAAGAGTAGGATTTGTCGTCTTTAAAACGAAGTAGCACAATTCAAATTTGGGGCTCTTTCCTTGAGGAACCCATAGCACTGTGTCTTACCATTTCTTAGACCAGTGCCTTAAGTTCTGATTCCTTATCTATTAAGTAAAAATTGGCTATGATTGCTTTTTTCCTTTAAATGTTTAAAGGTAGATTCAAAAAATAACTAGAGTTGGATGTGGTGGTGCACACCTTTATTCCCACCCAGCACACAGAAGGCAGAGGCAGGCAGATCTCTGTGAGTTAGAGGGCAGCCTGATCTACATAGTGAATTCTAAGTCAGCCAGAGCTAAAAAGTGAGGCCCTGTCTTTAAAAAAACAAAAATAACAATTAAATGAAATAGTGTATGCATTTTAAATACACAGTTCATTGACTCCCAGATGCATATACCTATGTAAGCACCACTTTAATAAAGATATGTTCCCTATCTCCCTCCCACCCCAGGTTCAGGAAACCTTGGAGAAGAGGCTGAAGAGAGAATGTGAGAGCAGGAAGATAGGGGAGGAGTGCTGTGACATGCCATCCCACTCATGAGTTCACAGCAGTTGTGGTTACCGGACGAGATGAAGCTAGTAAAAATTCCTTTGTATATCGGGAAGGGCTCACGAGCCCCATTAATAGCTGAGGAGATATTGGCAGTTGGTAACTACAAAAGGAAGGAAAGTAATTTGTCCTTGAAGGTGTGGCCCCTTGTAGGTTGCTCTGCTCCAGGGGTGGCCCCACACTCGTATGCATAAAGGTAGCACTAATTGTGTTCAGCAGGTGATTTTTAAAAATATAGAAAATAGAAGGAAGAAGTAAAATTGAGATCATGTTTTGGGAGTAGCCTGGGGAGAAATGGAGAAGGAGAGTGAGGAAGTGGATATAGTCAAAATACATTTATGTATCTGGACTTCTCAAAGAATAAGATGCTTTATATATGTATGAAACAGGATCTTCCTGTCACCCCACAGATCCTCCCCTTGCTTCTTTCTAGCAAGAGTAGAGAATAATAAATATAACATTTAATGTACAAGCCTCCTGTCTTTACAAACAGGTTGTTCTGGTGACTGATGGCTGTCTTGGCATTGGCAGAGGGTCACTGCGACATTCCCTAGCTACTCAGAATCAAAGGAGCGAGAGCAACAGATTCCCACTCCCCTTCCCTTTCCCGTCTAAGTTGTATGTCATGTGCATGGCCAACCTAGAGGAGGTAAGACTTTTCCTCAGCTCTTGTTAGTTTGATTAAATTTTAGACTAGCTCTCTTTGTTGGTACATTTGATTGCCACTGCTGCATTATATGCACCGTAACATTGTCTCCACTGGTTTCACCCGAGGCTGGTCATAATTTAAAAGACTGCATCTCAAATGCTCATTGACATTCAGAGGTATCCAGCTTGGGAACATAGCTATGGTTGTCTTTCTTCTTATTGGTGGGTTGTGGAAGGGCCAGGTGGTTTTTTGTTTTGTTTTGTTTTGTTTTGTTTTGTTTGAGGGGTGTTAATTATGTCTCTTATCCAGGAATTCTTATATCCATCCCAGAAGAAATATTGAAAGAGTTTATGTGCTTTAATTTTAGGGGGTAAAATAATGTTGTTGTCAGACATGTTTTATTAAATGCTAGACTTCCTAGTTTTGCCATTTGAGAAAAGTAACTTTTCTCCACTTCAGTTTTTTTCTATTGTAAAATATAGATGAAAGGCAAATGGATCTCTGAGTTTGAAGCTAGCCCAGTATTCATAGCAGGTTCTAGGCTAGCCAGGGCTACATAGTGAACCCCTGTCTCAAAAGCAGAGAAAGCAAAACTGTAGATGATGGTTTTACCAAACCATGTTAGAAACACCTTCCTGAGGAGAGGCTAGCCAGGCTTCCTGGAATGTCTGATTCTGTCTGAAGTGGTGCTACTCGTATCATCTTTATTACTTTACTCTTTTGTAGCTTTGAGTCAAGTCATAGTTATTTCTTTGTTATTTCTGTTAAAATCATCTCAGTCATTTCCTGCAGGTGTCATGATGGTGTTAGTATGGTGTACTGAGTAATTGGTTCTGTGTGCCACACTAAAGAGGTCATTGCTTTGGCTTTGCAGCTTCAGAGCACTGACTCCTTGGAGTGCCTTGAACGACTTATAGACTTAAACAATGGTGAGGGGCAAATTTTTACTATTGACGGTCCCCTGTGTTTGAAGAATGTACAGTCTATGTTTGGGTGAGTATACGTGTAAAGCTTTTTCACCTTTATATTTAATCCAGATCATAAAGTGATAGCCAGGAAGGATATCTGTTTTATTATTGCTGATTGTGTGATTTAGTTTTTCTCAGATAAAGTTATCGGAAGTAGTAGTTTAAAAACTTACTCTGTTTTCAGTTAGGCGTGACTACATCTGTAATGCCTGCAGAACTGACTTACAGTTGGCTCAGCAGTTTCAAAGGTTAAAGTATATGGGTCTGAAGGTTAAAGTATATGAACTGAAATCTCACCACAATGTCGGCTTGTATCCTCTGTCACAAATACTCGAGTTTAGTCTTAGAATCAATGGGAGAAAATAACAGAATTTGAATCTTTAAGGATTTCTTGTATATGTGTCATATCACTGTTCCTCTAACAAATTCTAGAAAGCTGATAGATCTGGCGTACACACCTTTCCACGCTGTTCTCAAGTGTGGCCACCTAACGGCTGATGTACAAGTCTTCCCCAGGCCAGAACCTTTTGTTATAGATGAAGAAATTGATCCTATCCCTAAAGTCATTAACACAGGTAACTTTTTTGAAATTTCCTTCTATTATCTTTTTATTACCCTTCTATTATCTTCCTATTACCCCTCTATTTCCTGTTATCTTTATCTTACCTAAGAGATGGCAGGTTATTGTCTTTCATAGTGAGATCTTGAGTTAATCTCCAATCTCTGGTCACTGTAACTACGTATTACTGGGTTAGAAATAATGGCCAGGTTGACTTCAAATGATAAGGTGTTCTTCAATCTAGTGTTCTCCCAGCTGAGCTGTTTTAGTCACTTGAGATGATTCTTTTTTTGGTTTTTGGTTTGTTTGTTTTGGCGGGGGGGGGGGGGGGG